CCTGGATGCCCCAACACCCCTAGGTTGCCCCATGTGCCTGGGGGTTGCCCCATGTACCACCCCATACACCCCCAGGATGCCCATGTGCCCCTATACAGCCCCAGCTGGCCCCCTATGCCCCCAGGATGCCCCATACTGCCCCAGCCCCCCTCCTGCTCCCCACCAGGGCCAGGGGTGGGTCTTGCCGAGGGAAGCAGCCGCTGCCGAGGCCTCCTTCCCTCTCCGAATCCTGCACCCCAACTGCTCAGGGCCTGGTGCCCCATAGCATGGCACGGCCAGCTGCAGCCAGGTGGGGAAACTGAGGCACGAGGGCACCTCTCAGCCGGAGGGTCACCCTCTCCGTGCCTAAGTTTCCCTTCCCGGGGAGGAACCGCACCACACACCTCCTCCAAAAAGCTGCACCGCGGCCGTCCCCGAGCCCCTCTCCAGCTCACTCTGCCCACGGATTTTGCTGGAAAAAAACTTTATTTTCTGAGACTTATAAGCCCCCGGAGGCCTTTGCACCGCAACAGTGCGGCCCTGCAGCCATGGAGGACGGGGACATCCGTCAGCTTCCCGCATCCCTGGCAGGACGAGGGAGCAAACCCCCAGCACCACTGCAGCCTTGCGGGATCCCCCCAAAAACCAGGGTCCATGTGAGCCTCCCCCCAACCTCCCCCACCCCACAGAATGGGGTCGAGCATCTTCCGAGAGCCCCTTTTCCTTCGTCCCCATGGGAGATCTGTGACGGGGAGGGTTTGGGGGGTGTCCACATTTCAGGGAGCCGGGCGAAGCCACCCTGAGTTTCTGATGCCCGGTTACACCCCGCGGCTTATCAGGATGCCTCCTCTGATCCTGATCCTGACCACCTATCCAACCGAGACTGCTGGGTGAAATCCTACGGGAGATGGAAGAAGAGAAGCAGAAAGGCCCCTCACCGTGGCCTCAGGGCTGCCACCAGCCCCTCACCCTGGCGTCGTGGCAGGGAGGTGACCCCATCTCACCTGCTGCCGGCATGCCTCCAGCATGACGCCGGCGCGGAGCAGGCACCAGAGCTCTCCCAGCAGCGAGACAAGGACGTGGAGGACATCGGTCCAACGGCCGACGGTGAGGAGGAGGATGAAGAGGCCACCCCCCCAAAAACCAGGGTCCATGTGAGCCTCCCCCCAACCTCCCCCACCCCACAGAATGGGGTCGAGCATCTTCCGAGAGCCCCTTTTCCTTCGTCCCCATGGGAGATCTGTGACGGGGAGGGTTTGGGGGGTGTCCACATTTCAGGGAGCCGGGCGAAGCCACCCTGAGTTTCTGATGCCCGGTTACACCCCGCGGCTTATCAGGATGCCTCCTCTGATCCTGATCCTGACCACCTATCCAACCGAGACTGCTGGGTGAAATCCTACGGGAGATGGAAGAAGAGAAGCAGAAAGGCCCCTCACCGTGGCCTCAGGGCTGCCACCAGCCCCTCACCCTGGCGTCGTGGCAGGGAGGCGACCCCATCTCAC